CCTCCGCGGAGCTCCTGCCGATGTTATGAGTGGCTTTAGGTGCGCAAGAAACTGCAATTTTCTAGGAGACGTAGATTTATAGAATCATAGAATCGCTTTAGTTGGAAAAGACCTTTAAGATCATCGAGTACAACCTTTAACCTAACCCTGCCATCCCACCACTAAACCCTGGCCCTAAACACCTCATCCATCCTTCTTTTAAATACCTCCAGGGATGGGGACTCCACCACCTCCCTGGGCAGCCCATTCCAGAGCCTGACAACCCTTTCAGTGAAGAAGTTTTTCCTAATGTCCAACCTAAACCTGCCCTGGTGCAGCTTCGAACCATTCCCCCTCGTCCTATCGTCCATTACCAGGTAGCAGAGGCCAACCCCCCCCTCCCTACAGCCTCCTCTCAGGCAGTTGTAGAGGGCGATCAGGTCTCCCCTCAGCCTCCTCTTCTCCATCACACCCAAGACCCCCGTGTTCCCCTCTGTCCCTCCCTACCTGATAGGCTCCCTTTGAGGACAACCCCTGCACTTTCCACCTCTTCACGCGATGCACTGGTGTAAGCAGAGACCTAGCAAGAGCTGGCAGGGCCAGAGCATCAGAAATGTCCAACTCTGGGACTGTCAATGGTGATGCTATTTTCGCACCAGGTGCATAGCGCAGCACCTCAAAGCTCAGACAAATAAACTGGGACAGGGCATAAGGTTTTTTAAAGGTAGCAACTTTAACATGCCATAGGTTTGTTCTTTGCTGTCAAAACCAAAAGACAATCTAACAGCCAGCCAGCTCTCCCTCCTTTGTGCACAGCCACCGGAGTTAGCCATTCTCTGCTCCTTCTGTGGTCACCAACAAGAAAGTGGAGGGGAGAGCGAGCTAACTGACCAAATTTAGACACTCAATGTAATGCGATCTCCCTGAGAGTAAGAACGTGTTTAAAGTAAAAGCCAGAACACCTTAAAAGTTTGCAGATAGTTATTATGCTGGAGATGTAGTGAAGAAAAGGGACTTGTCTAAGCCTGGACGTGCAGCTCCACTGCTTTTGTATGATTAGCAGTACACACATGATTAAAGACTTTGCTGGATTTTAGCCAGATAATGCAATTCTGCAAAAGCCTGAACAGTCTTCCACTAATATGAGCACATTCATGAAGCTTCGGAGTAAAACATCCTGTTATTAACATTCTGCTAAATGTCACACAGGCAATCGTGTATGGCTCATAACTGGTAGTCTCTAAAATTGAACTGTATCTTTATTAATTTAAATTTTCAATTTCTATTAATGCAGTACTATAAAGAAAAAAAGCAATAAAAACACTGTCTAAGCAATCACACAAGTCAATGCAGGTGTATCTGAAGACCTTACAGCACTTCCATTTTATACGATCCATGTCTTTCAATGGGACAAGACACCACTGCTGAAGTTTCAGTGCAGGTACTTGGGTGAGAAGGGAGGGATGGGGAAGAATTGTCCACCCCCCTCCACACCACCCAAAGGGATGTGTGGTCCAGGCCCCTTGGAGCATCGACTGTGTCACCTCCCCACATGCCTCAGGTCCCAACATCTACCCTGTGGCTGCGAGAGGAGTGGGAAAGAGAAGGTTATGTATTCCCTTAAAACAAATCAACCAACCAACCAACCCCACAGAACTGGCCGGTGCGTACCAGCATTTTCTAGCAGATGATCAAGACATGAATCATCAAAAGGCAGACATTTGCATCTGATCTTGTCGGCACTGGCTGGCTGAGTGGTCAACAAGAGGGGGAGGAGGAGGAGGAGGAAGAGGAGAAGGAAAGCATTTCTGTACTGTAGTTGTTCTAAAATGCAAAACTGAAACAGGTCAAGCTCAACAGCACCTTGAAGGTGTCACTTTTCCCCATCAACCACAAGCAAACAATGTAAGGAGGCATGACCGGAGGTGGACATCTAAATTGAAATGCGGCGAAACAAACCGATGGTGTGCTTTGCTTTTTTCATTGTGATCAGTGAGGCACAGAATTTTCCCTCTGATACTTCCCTATGCCTCACTACTTTTAAACACGTTTATACGCACAATGGTGTTGACACAGACCTACTTATCCTTCACATACGTTAAAAGCAAGACAACCCACTGCACGCACGAGAAGAACTCACAGACCAGGCAACTTCAGACTCAACCTGATGACAACTGAACTTTGGAAACGGCCAACATGTCACCTGAAAACGCTCCCCAGAGAACTGCAGCCACGCAAGTGCGGCCATGCAAGAGGGTGCTAAGCATTCGCGCCATATCTCTGTATCCCAGACCCCATGGACTGGGAGTGCGGAGCCCACCGTGTCCCAGAGCCCAGCTCGCCCCTCACAGCTCAGAGGGAAACTTTCTCCTGAGGGGTTATGGGGCAAATCTGGCATTACACAGTGAACACACACAGAGAAACCTAACTTTGGGCTCTAAACCAAAAGCGCATTTTTTCAAAGGAATGTATAAAAACGTATTTACAAAAAAACAAAACCAAACAAAAGCCACAGCGTTATGTATCGCGTTTTTATACACAACAGCTTCTTTCTTATCCAACAGAATCAGGAGGAACAAGCTGTACATGGCAAATGCTTGTCACATTCTTGGATGAGCTGCCAAAGGGAGTTCAATGAGGAGGAGGAAAATAAATACTTCTATGGAGTCCCGTCAGTAACAGGCAAATAGGCGTAAAGGAGGTCACTAAAATATGCTTAAGTTTTGTATTTCTCTTTGTGGCACTTAATAAACATCTGGATATTGCTCACATATCTAAAAAGTTAAAAATTTCCATGTCATTTATACCGAAGACATTGTAAGTATAAACTGTTACGTACATTAACATAACCTTTATGTAACCTGACTATCTACCTTAAATGCCGTGTTTTGTAAGCAGTAACATTACTACATCCCCTCCTAAAAATTAAAAGACTTCTAGAAAAACAGGATTTCTAAAATATCAAATATTATGAAGCACTCTGCTCTAAATAAGTCTTTTAAAAATGTGAGTGCAAAAGAAAAAATCATTGGCACAAGATCAGTCACATTTCTGACAACATAGAGCAGAGCATCTTATCTTACTCAGTCCTATGTGTTCCACTGCTTTAGCATAACATTAACGCTAGCGTTTGATCTGGAGACAATCTTTACGGCCACAGTACATGTTTATTTCACAACAATAGCTCTTCGCTGGTGCATTCACCAGGATTCTGCTTCCTGGCCACATCTTGCTCTGCTGCTTCTGGGTTGCTTTGTTTTTCCATAGATAAATCACCATCATTTTCGTACTTGTCAACAAAATAATCAGAGTCAAATCTTAGAGACAAATCTGGAGGGCTCACATAGACGTTTCCGTTGCCTGTTGTGACTTTATGAATCCTTTGTTTGACTCCTGCTGATTCCCACTGTGGTGTTGGTGATGGCTCCAAACGGTTTCTTGCTTTGTATAATCCTTCTCCTGTTTCCAAATTGATTTTATACTTATGCCAAGGACAGGTAACACATGCTTGACCATTGATATCCTGCAAGAAGAAGAAGAAGAAGATAAAAATAGCAAGTGATCGGCTTCTGGTTCTTCTCCTGGAGGAATTTCTAGGATAAAAGGCACACTTGGTGATTTGGGTGTATGGATCTCTGATATTTTACACATATGTCCATTTCATTCATAGAATCATAGAATCACAGGAACATTCAGGTTGGCAAAGCCCTTTAAGCTCCCCCAGCCCAACCAC